GTGTGTGTGTGTGTGTGTGTGTGTGTGTGTGTGTGTGTGTGTGTGGGGGTGGGTGTGTGTGTGTGTGTACGAAAGAAAGCAAGCGTGAGATAAAGAGAGAGGGTGGGGGAGAGGGAGGGAGACAAAGAGAGATGCAGAGAAAGAGAATATGAGACGGAGAGAGCGCGCGCACTTACGTGAGTATCTTCATCATCAGCCTTGTTCCTCTCAGCTACGTACCTCAGAACCGTTCTACCTACCTATAGGTTCCCATTCACTACCGTCAAGTCTTTTCTACAAATACATATAGTATCAGGCCAAACGGAAGTTCACAGAACTCCCATATTCCCTTTCCTTCCTCCCGAGAGACATGTACGTATCACACTCTCGTGGAAAGACTTCTGAGCGACGTATAGTTTCTATGCAGTTTTGTTTACTATCGAGTTATTCTTTTACAACTTGCCATAATCACGTAGCGTAAAAGCAGACCAATTACGAATACCTCAGACCGCAACAGGTCATTTTTATAGACGTAGAAAAAAACTATTCTTAGTATAAATAGTAAACGAGTAATCGTGTTTTTCCTCGATGTTCTGTCGTTTGTACGCACTCGCCACTGTTGTATGTAATTATTAAGACACTGCGTTTATCCATGATTATGCGCTGGTGTGGTGTGGACGCAGGTGTCACATGATATGTGATGAACTATTATGGGATACCTGTGGGTGTGAGTGTCTGTGTGACCTAGCTACCACGACCCCCAGCCAATAGAAAAATAGATGGAGATGTTAGATAATATAGTATATGTACACATAATACTAGCGGATTTATGCGAGAACGCGTCCGCAAATTTACTGTCGAGTTTTCTTTTTGTAAAAAGATGAGTATAAGAGAATGCATGTTTAATATCGTGTAAGTTATTGTATCTGTGTTGTAGATATCAGTACGTGTTTTTAATCCTATAAAAATATCGTGACGTATCCGTTTCTAACGGGAAAATATCTTTGGAGCGGTTATCCGAAATTGTATAGATATCCTATGATACGCTCGTGTATTATTGATACAGGAGTATGATCACGATTACGCCTCCAATAGCAAACCTTGGGAAATCATGGATGGCAAGTTGTTAACGGTAATGTGCGAGCGCCATCTATCGCCAGGTATATGACATTTTGAGAGCCTGTTCGGGACGTTGCGGTTGCGGGAAGAACTTAATTACTACTAGTAGCACGAGCTGCATCCATAATATATATATATATATATATATATATGTATATATCTCAACATATACATATATATATATATATATTATATAAGTGTATTGTAGGATATCTATTGTTGTACCTACATTAGTCTGCAAGTCTATTGCAAATTTATGCAGACGTTTGAAGAGAGAGCCTGTAGTTTATCAAACGTGCGGTCGAAACGGAGAGATTTTGCCGCAGGGTGGCGCTCCTGTTGTGTTCATGTGTGCGTTTATTTCTGTTAGACGATCATTAAAGAATTTTACAGTATATCTCGGCAGTGTTCACTATAGCACAAATTACCAGCTGTTTGCTGACGTATACTCACCCCCTCCACCACACACACACACTCACAACCCACCCACCACCACCACACACACACCACCACCACCACCACCACACACACACACACACACACACACACACACACACACACACACACACACACACACACACACACACACACACACACACACACACACACACTCACTATCACCCCCACCCCATCCACACACAGACGGATAGGAACGACATAGAAAGAAGAAATATCGTGTAATATGTCGCGTCGTTTTACCACACGGTTAATATTCGCAGTTAAACAAGGCCTATTTTATTCGCAACGCTCAGAAATACACCTCACACGCACGCACGCACGCACGCACGCACGCACGCACGCACGCACACACACACGCACGCACACACGCAGACACACGTATGAACGTACCGTTCAGGGTGGTCAGCAGATGCGTCACTGCACTCTAACGCAAGCATTGGATTGAAGCAAATATTGTAAAGATTGCACAATTTATTGAACTTAATCCACACATACGATAGATAATATGTAACAGTACCCATGATATGAATCCACAAACTGAAATTCTTCATTGTTTACAAAATATACATGACTATGCGAAACATTATTTTTAGAATACTGTATAATATATGAAGGCCAAGCCACAAAATATCGACAATTACTTCAACGAATGTTAGAAACAAACCCGAGGCGGTACATATATACATCAGATTGTGCGTATAAATTGGACGCATCGCGTTAGAAATGGATACTCCCATTTTATTTTGATCATTTACGGAGCGCTACCAACCACAGAACTAACTACTATCATCAACTATGTGCGAGTGTGCATGTGTGAGTGCGTGCGTGCGTGCGTGCATGTGCGTGCGTGTGCGTTCATGTTAGGAGGTTCAGTGGATATATCATAGACCGGCATGCAAACACGCGCACGCACGATCGCTCGCACGCACCCACACGCACACACGCTCACCCACGCACGAACGCACACACGCACGCACGAACGCACGCACGCACGCACGAACGCACGCACGCACGCACGCACACACAGCGATAAGGCACAATTTCCAGGGCTCACGCTCCCACTACAGGCCCGCGCGACGAACAACAGTGATTCACGGAGGACCCTTCCCCCGTACAACGCATCTCCCAAATAATAACTACACGTCTCCAACTAACCCTATATGTTTCCCAGATAAGCACATATATTCCCCCTCAAAAACCACATGTCTCCTATATATAACCATATATCTCATTCAAAACCACATATCTCCCATTTAATACCAGATATCTCCCACATGACCAAAAAAAACCCACATGCGTCACACACACCCAAAAAATCACACCGTATATAGTAAAAAAAAAACATTCGCCGCGATTTTACGAGATGAAAGACCCGCACAAGTGCGGATGCTGTCTACAGATTACTTACGTTGGTAATAGATTTTAACCCAACGAGGGGATTATGACGATGATCTAAATACTACCTATCCGCCCCCGCTGTAACTGACAGCCAATCATGATGACGATAGGAAACGCTCTAAAAACGCTGCTTGGCAACGAAGTGCCGCGAAGAGTCGATACGCGTGTAAAACACATACGAACACGTGCATGTCGACACGAAGCTAGCAACAATATCTAAGCAAGGATGTGGTTATCTAGGCGCAGATGGATACAGGTCGATTAAATGTAGACGTGACACGACTTTTAACACTATCACATGAGAAAATGTGTATGTATGTATATATATATAT